GATGTTGCTGATTTAATTTTATTCACCAGAACTTAAACAGAGACATCACATTTCCCACCTGCTCTGGATGCTCAACTGGGTCAGCATCTTTAAGGGGGTACAAAGTTCCTTTTCAGTTCCTTTTTAGTTTTGCTACGGCAGACTCACATGGCTCGCCCTTTGGGAAGTAGCCTCCAGGGTTAGTTATTTCAGTTGCACCAAGACCTCACCGGGGCTTAGCCAAGACTTCAGTCCTAAACAGAGTTACACCCTGCCAAGCCCACTGACTTCTGCTTAAAACGGCACTACTTTATTTATGGACATCATTTAGACCCCCACCTTTCTCCAGAACAGGCACCTAAAGTGGGCCTTCCCTCCACTCCCAGATCCCAGATTTTCAAAAGGGATAAGTCTGCCATTCATCTCTTTCCTCCAGGACCCCACCCCATACTCCTGTCCCCTTTTGCCAACTTGAAACTTCATAAACAAACATGTATTACCCTTACCAGAACAGCAGAAGAAGGCATGTCAGTGGCAAACAGCTATGTTTCCCTCCCGCATTTTCTGGCCTGTATGACCAGGGGCAAAAATATGTTTATTTTGGCAGGACGTTGGGGGGGAAAAATTCTCCTCTTTGTTGCTTTTAATTATTGTGAGTTGCAGTATAAACAGTTTGGTAGCTTCATACAGTTCAACTTCAATATTGCAACAGCTTTTTAACTCTTATGTTGTCAGCCACAAAAGATAAAAATGCAGGTAGTTAGGACTTGCCTGCCCCAGGAGGGCCACCGTGAGTCTCCAGGGTAGGAGAAATGCTTCTGGCGGGCTTCCTGGTGAACATTCAGCGGCCACAAATCTCAAGAGGGCCCACCTGGCAGCAGGGTTTCTTTGTCTTGAGTGGGTCCTGAAGCAGAGACCAGAGGTCGCCTAGTCACTAGCGTGTAGTTCTGTGTCTGAACAAAGGCCCCTTGTGCAAGGCCTGGGTGCCCAAGTACAGATACTGCAAATATCATGGCAAATGGTCAAACATACTGCGCTCATTTCTGGCGATCCAATGTGAGCCGTTACCAGGGCTGTTCAGTTCATCCCTGAATGACTTGGATGTCTGCTAAGCAGGTATTGGGTTCTTGCAAAACTGCGCATGCGCAAAAACACTGCTAATCCAAACAGATCATCAGCCACTAACTTTGATAAGGACTACGTAGATCAGTGAGTCCTACTACAGAGAGCCACATTCACGATTGGTGGTGGAAAGTGGAGTCAAGACATAGCCGACTTTTGGTGACCTCGAAGGGTTTCCAAGGCAAGAGATGGACAGAGGTGGTTTGCCATTGCTTGTCTCTGCGTACAGCCCCTGGACTTCCTTGGGGTGGTCTCCCATCCAAGCACTAACCAGGGCTGGCCCTGCTTAGCTTCCGCAATCTGATGAGAGCTGGCTAGCCGGGGCCATCCAGGTCAGACTCAGGGGATGTTCACAATGACCACCAACCAAAAAAGTCACAATCACTTCCATCTCAGGCATGAGGCCTGTGCCTCAGGGAAGCTCTGCAGCTTATCTGTCCTTCTGGCAATGACTGTTTCAAGGCAGGAACCATCTGCCAGCCATAAGGTCCACTAGGCAAGGGCCTTGCCCACTTTCCTGAATGATGGGGTAGGTGCCATATTGGGGGACAGTGCTCAGAAGAGCCACTGTAATGTATTCAATAAGCTGCCATTGAATGCATAATGTGTGATGAAAACATCTAATTGAAATGTCATGTTAAGCTTCGTCCTGGGCTAGGATCCAAATCCATCCAATCGCATTGATAGCCCAGGAGGAACCAACCAATCACTTGTCAGCAAGCTCGCTGAGCGGGAACGTCCATGATTGGTCCTTATGCATACAACCTTATTGGTTGGTAATTGTACAGTAGGCGTGGCTGCATTCGCCGGGAGAGTTTAAAAGCAGGACAGCTGCAATGTAAAAGCTGTTCTGGCTATCAGATGTTGATCTGTGTTGGAGTTGTGTTTGAGTTGCTGAATAAAGCTGAATCCTTGCTGAATCACTCTCCGACTACTTTGCTAAGTGAGCGACTTAACAGCCACATATCACTGCAGAGCTGCTGAGTATCTCTGATTTAGTTGAACACAGAATGGTAAGAATTTGAAAAGAAAAAACCCACCAGTGTGTGTTTGTGACCAATTTATATAATTTGTGGCTGATTTAACTGTCTATTGAGATCTCCATTTGCTGTGTGAGAGTGTGCATGTGTGAAAAGTGATTGTGCTGTACACTATACACTACTGTTAGGAAACAATACACTGAAACAACCTGCCGAATGGCCACGAACAGGTCGAAGAACTGATGAACAGTCTGTCAAAAACTCAGCTGCCTGATTACAACTGGTGAACAGGACGTTAACCTGATGTTTTAGCCTTCCTAGTCCCAAATTACCTCACTGGTACCTTGTCTAATCCCCTCCCAAACCCGACACAACTTCCCCCGTTGCCGGGTTTTGGGTTGCTGGACCTTTCCCAGGCCCAGAGGCCCCCTGACCACACCAAAACTGAATCGGGGGCTTCCAGGGAAGGGAATTTGCCCTTCCATACCACAGCCCTAATCTCCTTTCGGAGACACTTTCTCGTATGTTGGGAAATTACATGTTTAATTATACAACAGAGGACAAGTCCCTGGTTGTTAAATGTTGCATGCATTTGGAAAAGCAGTGCAGGTATGATTTATAGACTCTTACATGGGTGTGGTCCGAATAGTTTTAATGGGACATCACTGGTGTAACCTCTGAGTCACAGAGGGATCTGTTTGCTTCCTATATGCCAGTGAGGAAGTTCACACAAATGTACTTATTTCTTGCATTTGTAGAGTGCCTTTCTGTCAAGACATCCAATGGAGTTTACAATTTAACTTCTGAAAAGACAAAATAGTAAAAATCTTGTCACAAGCTATCAAGTCTTCTCAGGAGTTAAAGGTATGTACTTCCTGGTCTGGGTATCACTCTTGTCTTCCCCTCAGGACACACAACTCTCGAAATAGCCCTAGGAAAGACGGAGAGGCTGCCTCAGTTGATTTCTCCGAGGCCCTTGGTTGTTCCTTCAGGAGCTCTCAAGTCCAAATTCTAAATTTCAGAGTGAATCGGACATTTCCTTATTTTTTAAACCCCAAGTAGTCAGGGGCTAGTAAACAGATAAATGAAAACAATTAAAAAAAAAAAATTCTGCTAGGTCCTAATCAGTGTTCCCTCTAAGCTGAGTTAGTGTGAGCTAGCTCACAGTTTTTTAGCCTCCGGCTCACAGATTTTTGTCTTAGCTCAGGAAGGATGGCTCCAGAGAAAACTAATTCATGCAGCAGCCAAATTGCTCGCTCACAACTTTAATGCCAGGAGCTCACCAAGTAGAATCTTTGCTCACAAGACTCCACAGCTTAGAGGGAGCCTTGGTCCTAATACAATTGAAAAATTAAAACCACATGTGCCCAAGAGAAAATAGTGGAAGGAGACGAACAAGACCCATTTCTTGGATCACCTTTTTAAAAGAAACATCCCAGGAAAAAAAAAGAAATTGAAAAAGACGAATTTCATTCTAAACCAAAGCCTCCCCCCCCCTTCAGAGTCAGGGGAATATTATTGCCTCCTCTTAACACAAGAATGAGTTTCACAACATATGTTAAATGAACAATTATTTAAAATAAAAGGAAATGACTTTAATAGCAGCTGCAGCAGCCTAGACCTCAGACCAGCAAGCCAAGGGGGGGGGGAAGAAGGGAAGAGGAGGGAAGCTGCTCATCGTGAAGAAATGTGGCCCACACCGCAAAACAGACTACTATGATAGCTGTTCCAAAAAAAAAAAAAATCATGGCAAGCAAACAGAAGTGAGCTACAACTTGCATCACCCCTGATCTCACCTCCATTTTCTGCACGATGATCAGTCTCCCCCCCCCCCCAACACATCATTTCTAGTTGCGAACTAATGCACTGGGAAATAAAAAGAATTAACTGTGAAAAAGCCAAGGCAAAAAAATGCTCTTTGTAAATATACATGTGTGTGTGTGTGTACATAGTGTACGTCCGCCAAATCCTTTTGGCAGCAACCTCCCAGCGTCACCTGATCAACCTTCCAACAACAGTAAGACCCTTCCACAACAGCAGAGGAACTAACCAATCCTTCACCTCCTCTCCTGCACCAGCCTTTCGACACTTCATGCGTCCATATCCTTCACAGCGCATCTGTATGCCTATTAAACTGGATAATCCCTCTGGCCTTTGATACATTTCTGGACATGATTATTTCATTACTCGCAGTATATCAGTAGGATCATAATAAAAAAGAAGGCCTTCTGACAACCTGCCAAGAGTTTTGTGGCCTTGTAAACACAAAAGTGCTCTAATAAAATTTTATTAAGTGTTAAAAAGTCATAAAAAGTGAAATAACATAAACTACAAAATTTACTGTCCTCAGCAAATGCTGAAAATATTGTCCATAGTAAAATTAAATTAGCAAGTAATACAGAGAGAGAGAGAGAGAGAGAGAAAGAGACAGAAGCTGTGCAATTCAGTTTAGAAGATACTAGGACAGGGGAAATAATAGCATTGCAACTCATGTGGGTCGCTGGGATTTAGCTTCCTGAGATTCTTCCCCTTTTTTATTGGGAAAGGCAAATCTCACTAAATATGCAGGTTAAGGACCAGAGTTCTAAGGTCGTTTATGTTCTCCAGCCTGTCGATACTTCTTTAGAGAGAAATAATATATTACAGGCAGGAAGGAATGATGGGCGAGGAAAGAGTTCGGAGACTTCCTCTGGCGCCCACTAGGGTGCGCTGTGTGACTAAGAATACCCACGAGAAGGCAGAGAATAAGCGCCTAACCCAGAAACCATATATCAAGAAGAATGCCTCCCCTCCCCCTTAAAGAAATTGTAGTTACAATTTTTTTTTGGCGATTTCTTACAAACGGGGGGGGGGGGGGATGAAGAAGAGAAAACAATGCTTTGGCATGTACAGCCTCCTCCTCCTGGGAAAAGGCGTGCAAGGAGACCTATCCCCGCTGGACTGATTTCCTGCTCCCCCCACCCCACCCCACTTGAACTCCCGGTGCCCAAAGACAGGAGAGAAGGAGACACCTCCCCACCCTACCCCGCCCCGGTCCTTCTTGGGGGCGAGAAACTTCCCCTGACTTTCCTAACACTCACGGAGAGGCCAGGACACGAAGATCCAAGTAAGTCGGGAATGCTTTCGCGTGTGCTTTACGGTACGGTTGGGAGAAGGGCACGCGGGCCTTGCCACTGGGATCGGGGACGTGTCTTGAGCTCCGGCTGAAGCCTGCAAACCCTCTGCACGCTTACTCGAGAGGAAGCCCCTACCCACCCCTAGCGCTCAATGTGGCTTTCTTCCGAGTCGACAGGCGTTGCAGAAGCAGGCTGCAACGCGCGCTCTGACCCCTTGAGTGAGGAGAACTCCTCAGTGGGGCTTGCTGCCGGTGTGCTGCCCCGGGCGGAGTCCACGCTGGGTGTGCCGGCTCCTATGCAAGCCCCGCTGGGTCGAATGGGACTCGGAGCCTTCACGGGCTGCGGGCGGGAGGGGGCATCCCTAAGTGAGTCCGAGGCTGGGGCTCGCTCCCCGGGAAGTGTTCTTAGGATCTCCGCCTTCGAGGAGAAGGCTGGCCTGGGCCACCCCTCCCCAAACCTCCACCACCCCCGGGGCCTGCTTTTGCAGAACCAGGCAGCGGAATCCGGCGTGGATCTGTGTGCCAACTGAGCGCCAGGCAAGGAAGGCGCAGCCCGGGGAGTCGAGCCGCCGCACCCCCA